CCATATATTTGTCCATTTGTCTGAGCACCAGCGACAACCACTCTACGTACTCTTATCCTACACTGAAAAAAACCGGTCTATGCCGTCCTAAAGCAGAGTTGCACCACGCCATTTCAGGCGTCACCAGTTTTCTCTTTTATCAAGCAGGCTCGAGGAGTTCCCACGCGAATTAAACCACATGAAAATAATGGAAAGGGAACCGGAGAATCTACCCGTAGTACAAAAGGAAAAGGAAAAGAATCCACCCGTAGTACAAAGTGCTACGGCAAGATCAAGTTCAAAAAACAAAAAAAAAATGTGCTAGTGCAAGACATTTGGCAAGCCACTAGAGCATCTATAACTGGACTTGGCAAATTCGACCTCTTAAACGTCCGATGAGGCCTGAGGCGCTAACCTTAAATCCATATATTATATGCAACGTAGATCCAATCTTAACTGGAGCTCGTCCTGCTCCGCCGTGCCCATGTCCCGCGGCCGGCTGCATCCCTCAAAGTGTTGGTCCGGTCGTTGGCAAGTCTGAGTAGGACATGGAACACGACCCAGCTCACGGGACTCAAGGCGCCGATGTCTCCCATTCCCTACTCTTTCTCGTCGGAGCCCGGAACCCATATGGTGCCCGTGGACGTGAGATCAATGATGGATCCGTCCTGGGAGGAGCCGGCGACAACCACGATGACGCGGTTATGGCGACCTGGGTTGCAGGCCATCCGTCGAGGCGCCGAAGAATGTGACTCCGCATCTCCAACGTCCACCGCCCCACGAGGGCTGCCGCCGTCTCCCGCGCCCGCTGCCTCGCATGGCGAGCACACCACGCCATGTTCTCGTCGGACACCGCCCATGCGTTCACCTCCTGCTCGATGCGCCAACGGAGGGGTTGCACGTCTGCCACAACGTTCAGACTCCAAACGGACCGCACTGCCTATGGTGAGGCAGCGGTGACACACCTCGCGGTGGATCCATGCGCCATTTGGGCGGACATAATGGATTCCCGACGCAAGGAGTCTGAGCGCTGCCATCGGGCGGCCTCCTCCCTGGAGCAGCGGAGCGCAAGCTGGGCCGTCATCTCTTCCATGGGGCTATGTGGGATGAGCTCGAGGTCGACTGATCTAGAGGTGTAGGACTCGGGTCCGCTGCCCGCCATGCCAGAGAAGGCCAGAGATCGTCGAACAGGAGGTTGGGTGGTGGAGGGGAGTGGTGTGAAGTAGTTAAAATTTGTTTCGGGGAGCGAATGGGGATGAATATATGCGGGATCGGGTGGGCCAGCATGGGCCGTGTCCGACATGGCGGGCGTGCCCGGTCACGCTCGGGCCTCCCATGTGCACCCCATATTTTATTTTGGCTAAATATGAAGGGCGTCAGTCGATCCGTATGTTTGTAGCGGATTTGAGGCGTCCAACTAGGTCAGTTGTTTATGATCGATCAGAGCAACTCCAATGGGGCGATCCATTTTGTCCGTTTGGGTCATCCGGACATAAAAGTTGGCCCAATGTAGGGGTGGAAACGGATCGGATAGTGCTCTTACCACTTCCGTTTTCATATTTTCAAAACGAATACGAATGCCAACACAGATGTTATCGGATACGGATCCGGCTCGGATGTTATTCGAATACGGATACGTATCGGATATTTTCTTGATTCGGAACGGATACGAATAATAGCGACGTATTGCTTTAGTATACTAGTCAATAGCTATGTGACATGAAATAATTAACTTGTGACATACAATAAGTCAATGATAAATAGGTTTATGAATAAATCTTATTATAATGTATAATAATTTCTAAGTTTAATCATACAAAGAGTAATTTTTGACCACTTATTTGGCTTCTATGTTGGATAATTGGAATGTTTGGGCTAGAATTTTGAAAATTACCTCCCATAATCTTATTCGGATACGGATATATCCACTTCCATATCCATATTTGTGTCAAAAGCTTATACCATATTTTATTTTTTATTTGTTAAATAAATTTGGATACGGATAATTTCCATTTCCATTTTGGTTCGGATGCGGATGTTTCGGATACGAATAGGCATTTTCTCGAATACGAAAATCGGATATTTCGAATTATCCGCGACCACTTTCCACCCCTAGCCCAATGGGACGACCCAAACGGACACAGCGTCCGTCCGCTGTCCGTTTCGTATCCGCTCAGACCATTTCCATCCCAAATTTGGGACACATTTGGGTCACAGGCGGACACAAAGCGAACGCTTTCTGTGTCATCTCCGTCCGCCTCTGCCCGCTGCATGTGCCTGCTTGGCCCACTTGCCATCCACCCACCCGTCCCATCCCATCTCTCTCCTCCTTTTCCTCTCTCTCTCCAACCCACCCACCTAGCCCATTCGAGAGCTGGAGCATGGCCAGAGCCGGGGCAGCGCCGAAGAAGCGCCGCAGCTGGGCCAACGCCGACGTCCTGCTTCCCCAGCGCGGGGCCGCCATTTGTGCTCACCATGGGCGTGCCCTTGCTAGCTAGCTGCCCGTCGCATGCGTGCTAGTTAGCTAGCTAGCTAGCTAGCTGTGCGTGCTTGCTAGCTGCGCGCGTACTAGCCGGCCGGTGGCTGGTGATAGCTGACTAACTCGCGCGCCCGACCGCCTCGCCGCTCGCGTGTTGGAGCCATGGTCGCTGCGTCTATCCGCCATGCGTGCCGCCCCCGCCGTGTCGAGCTGCGCCGCCCTGCCTCGTCTCGGTGTTGGAGCTCGCCGCGCCCAGCTGCGTCGAGCCGCCATGCTTGATGTGCTCGCGGAGCCGCGCTCGCCTGTCTCGTCTCGCGCGTTGGAGCTCGCCGCGCCCAGCTGCGCCATGGAAACCGCGCCGAGCTGCCATGCTTGTTGTGCTCGCCGAGCCGCACTCGCCCTGCCTCGTCTCACGCCCCTGCCATGCCGCCCCGCTCGCACGTCTCCTCGTTGGAGCTCGCGTGCCCGGCCGCCTGTGCGTTGTGGCTCGACCGCTGGACCCGCCTCGTGCCCGGCCGGTGCTGCTGGAGCAGGTGATCGCGCCTGCCAGGCGCCCCTCCGCGTCTAGCCGCCATGCGTGCTGCCCCGCCGTGCCGAGCCGTGCTCGCGTGGGTGCAGATCGTCCCGACGTGCACCGGCGTCGCTGCCTGCTATGTGTTCGACAAAATGACAGGACGGACATGCGCAAAATGCATCCGCCTCCCATTGGGTTCACCGGCCGACCCAATTAAAAAAAGCGGACGCGGACGTGCGGACGGTCGACCCAAACAGACGAAAAACGGACAAAATCGATGTCCGTTTGGGTCGACCCGTTGGAGTTGCCCTCAGTGACCGAATCGTTCATTCGAACGATTTGAGGCGGGTTTGGGATGGCCGGTTGCAGATGCTTTTGGCTCCGAAGCTCCTCGTGCCCGCATTGCCCAGTTCGTAGCAGTACAGCACGATGCACACAAAAATGCACCTCCAGTACAGCGCTCCTTCCATTTTGTGAATCAGGTTCACCAGAGGACATGCTCCGTGGGTCGGGTCTAGACGCTGGCTTGGCTGCTTGGCAAGTGACAGGTAGTAGCACTAGCACTGTAGTAGTAGGACGCCGGTAGCTTGCTTTTGCCTCTTGCCGTCGTCGTGTACCTGGGTGAGGGTGACAACACGGGCATGGGTGGTGACACGACACCTGGGACCTGGCAGCGGGCAGCGGCAGGAATCTCTCTCGAGTGCGACTGCGGACAGGAGCAGGACAGCCCGGCCGAGCAAAGCAGCGGCAGCTCCGCGTGACGCGACCAAATTGTGGCGCCGCGCAGTCGCAGAGCAAATGCACTACTGTAGTAGTAGCAAGCAAGCATCCTGCTCAGTCCTCGCCTCCGGCCGGTCGCCCAAGTGGAGGGGAGTACTACCGTCTACCAGGTAGTACTTCATTCTAGCTTCGCCGATCCGACGTGAATCAATCAGTTCAGGGCAAATGATCCGCCGCTCTACACTACACACTGTATTTCGTTTCATCTGTAAATAAATTCGTCCGAAGATCCCTCGAACTGCTCGAACATGAACATTTGCAGGCTGGCGTAATCTGAAGGGCTCTACATTACGCCGTTCAGTAGTTCAGTTCCTATGTTCCTGTATGTAGGCAAAAGGGTTATCGATTTCCATCCGTCGAGCATTCCTTGCGACGCATGCTTCTCGTCTCGTGGTTCAATCAGTAGAATGCATCTGCTCGAGTGACAACGACGTCCACGTTGCTACGTAGTACCTAGGCAGAATTATTGTGCCTCCCACACGCCGCCAAAATACCATCCGCAGCCTACACTGGAGATGTCTACCACTAGACCGTATTCGAGCAAATATCATGGAACAGCAAAACCAAACCCTACGCCTAAGATGTCACCTCACGGAATTTGATTATATGCGAGGCGTTTTAGATCGGCATGCCCAAGAAAGGTGGCTAGTCAAGCAGTAGGCGCTCATTCCTCTGCGCCCCCACAATCTGCTAAAGCGGAGCGGGAAAGCAATCAAAGAAGCCAAAGCGATGTGAGGTCCCTGCCTGCTGCTGCTCGCTGCTACGGTTGCTTTGATCCAATGCAACGTCCAAAAGCAAAAGCAGAGAGCAAGCCAGCAGCACAGCACAGTAGTACTGTGCTACAGTGAGAGCGTGAGCGCGAGGCCAACCGGGCTGCATGCCGAGGGACTGAGGGAGACGTTGTGCCAAGCCCGCGCATTGAACTGCTCCAAAGCGCGCGCCTTTCTCGCGGTCCGATGCGTTCAAAGATCTCTGCGGCGAGCGAGAGCGAGAGGGAAAAAAAAAGGAATGAGTGAAAAGATGGGCGATGCAACATCATCATACCGGCGCTTGGAGTGCGAGGGCGAAAAGGAATTTTGTTCAATTCAAACCCGGGCCTCTGCCTCTGCCTCTGCCCCGCTCCATCATAAAAGGACCACACCACTACTCACGAAGCCAACGCTCCATCGCAAGCCATTTCCATTCCCTTCCTTGAGGAACAGAGAGTAGTTCTCGAGAGCTGAGAGGCAGCAGAGAGAAGAAGCTGCCATGGCTTCCATGACTCAGCCCATGCCGTATTACCCCACCACCAACCCCATCATGCACGCGCAGCCGGCCACCACGTCCAGGGGCTCCTTCGCGCCGGTGTTCACCGTGCTGGGCGTCATCTCCTTCCTCGCCGTCGTCGCCTGCGTCGCGGGGCGGCTGTGCGGCCGTCGGCTCTCCAAGAAGAAGGCCTACGCCGACCAGCACTACTACGGCACCAACGCGGTCGGCGGCGACCTGGAGAAGGGCTTCGAGGTTAAGTACCCGCCGATGAAGCCCATGCCAAGCTCCCGCGCGGTGGTCCATGACATGGACGACGGCTTCGAGATCAAGTTCGCGCCGGGGAAGCCCGCAGCGTGGAAGACCGACGCCAAGGCCGACAACAGAGGGCGCCAGCAGCAGCAGCACCACCACCACCACCAGGCCGGCATGCCGAAGGAGTACGCCGGTTTCAGGTACCCCGCGGCTGCCAACGGCGCCGTCAGGCAAGGGCAAGTAAGGGGCGGAACATTCGTCTCCGCAAAGCCCGGTTCATGATCATCACAGTAGCTTAGGTTCACAACTTGATGTATCTCATCATATGATAAGAGTGTCTGCTAGGCAATTTACTAGGCATCCATGATCCATCGGCGATCATAGCGTTTTCGTTCTTCACTCTAGTTTTGGGGCGCGCTCTGCAAAGTTTGTACTAGTTCCCAGTCACTTCCAGATTGTATTTTGTACATTAAACCCATCAAGCAGTGAAGAACATCCCATTCTCAAAGTAACCACGGCTGCACGAAAGCATCAATCGTCGATGGGGTCCTGGGGAGCTTCGTTGGCCTTGCGCTTGATGGTGATGACTGGACACTCGGCATGCTTGACGCAGAACTCGCTCACCGTGCCCACGAAAACCCTGCAACGAAAAACACCAGCCGTTTAGTTCAAGTGTAAATTCTGCTTTGCTTTACCCACAAGAATGGACCACAATATACTAGTTCAGAAAAGAAGTTACACGGCATAGTTCAGTGATGTGCACAGTGCACTTTGTCAGAAGAAGAATCTAAGCTGCATATAAAATATATTGTGGTCACACAGGAAGGAACAAAACGAATGTACCTGAAAACATACAAAGGAAACCTTATGTATATACTAGGTTGCATCATAAGGATGCGTTCACAAACAATGATAGAATGCATTTGGATTTGAAAATTTATTCTGGGAAGATGAAACCCTCACACGCTCTGTTATTCTGGAAAGACATGATTAGATTGCGGAAAATTCACATTAGTCACAGCTATCAGCTATGGGTGCAAACGTAGCATATGGCATCAGTCCATGTGAAGACTTCACCATTTCTCGAAACTAAAAAACAAGTATAGCAAAATAAAAATACCCTTGCATCAGTGCTATAAAGTGTTGCAGAGATGTAATGTATGGCAGAATTATGTCCCATCATAAATACTCCCTCCGTCCCACAATATAAGAACATTTTTCAAGTTAACATAGCTTGAAAAACGTTTTTATATTATAGAACGGAGGGAGTATATCTCTTAAACTGGAAGAAAAACAGTGAGTTCGCAGGATTTGTAATCAAACTACATTGCCCTGAATAGTAGCCAAACAGCTCAATGACGTAGGGCAATAGCATACACGTACATGAGGTTGCCTGTGTATCACAGTACTAGTTCTACACAGATAGACCACTTACATCATAGGCAGGGGTATGATTAACTTCTTTTGAGGAAGGGGTACGATTAGTTCTGTACGAGTAGGACGTCAAATCATCGAGTCTTTTTATCAGTGGCACGTTCTCCTAGAGTAACACTTAAAAAGTGTTTATCAATAGGCTTTTTCACAATAGCTAGGCACGCTTCTACTGTTGCTTGATTTACAAGGCAGCATCTTGTCTAGGGAGCACGAATATCGAAATCCCTCTTAATGGGCAGGCATGCGCACAAAGTGGTAAAGGACTTACACCCTGCATCTATGCACTCTGGAATTTCAGAATTTGACCGTATTTAGTACAAACACAAATCAGAGGGAATGGCAAGATCCGACTGTACCAACGGGAAAGGCCACAACTTAAATCTAGACATGTAGGAAGGTGCATCAGCATAACAATGCACTGTGTGTATTCTCTGATCATCTAGTCCATTAAGTTTTTTTTTCTATTACAAAAATGAAAGGAATACGATCATTTTCTTTTCTCTAAGAAAAGCATATCATGATGACAAATTGGGAAGGAGGATTGGTATGCCAAATACAGAGGATAAAATGCATACAACTTATTCGAAAGAGAACTGCGTAAAGAATTCAACAGTATCAGATTTGAGTTCAAGGTTAGCAAATCAAGCATAACATCCAAATTATAATGTTGTTATCCACAATAACAGTTTCACAGTCGGCTCCCAATATCCGACATCAAGTGTGCTTGATGTATTATAGAAATCATTTTTGGTTAAGTTACCAAGGTGATCAGCACAAATTTGAGGACAAAAAACTGTTGGCTATTTTCCGATGTTCTGTAAGACATAACTGTGGGTTATCCAATAGATCTAATTCAAAGCGCCTCTATTCAACCCTCATCTTAGAGATCTCCGTCATAACTATATAACCAGAAGTCCAAAACTGACAAGATCAAGATGCAAACTGATGTTCTATAATTGCATGTACAATGATTATCGCAAATACTGCAAACATTTGGTTAAAGAAACACAGTTGTCTGATACAATCATCTACTACCTCCATTCCTAAATATAAGATACTGGGGCAGTTTAAATTAAACTGCCCCAACGTCTTATATTTAGGAGTGGAAGTACTAACATGCATGAAAATTAGCAAGATGATATTTTCTGTGTTTGGCATGTTAGTAAGATAAGTATGCTTGCTTCAGAATACAGCAACATTAACCCTGCCACTCTACTAATTTACTAAGGCAACAGACAAAAAAAACAGAGGAGGGACAATACTGTAATATCATAACAATATCATAAAATAAACTTTTCAAATGCCCCCATCAAAAACACAGTACATTAGATCCAGCCCATTTTTCCAAAGAAAGTTGATTGTGAATATATATCTTAGTTTGGATGAGATGCACACCTAGCTGATGAACCATTTTATCAAAACATACATGTAGCCATGTTATTACACAATGAAGAATACTCATACACCCTTCTATAAAAATGATATTCAAGCCGACACGGTATAAGTGATTTTAACATAAATTACCTCTGAAATGGCCCGAGGCCTCTACTTCCCACAACTAGAAGATCAGGCTGGACTCTTTTCACCTCATGGCAGATAACCTCCTTTGGATCCCCCTGTTTGGTCCAAGCTTCACATTTTATCTGCAGCATAATTAGATAAGCTGTTAGGAACCAAAATGGCAACTGTTCCTGACTGGAGCCTATAGTACTGGAGAAAAAAAACAAAATGTAACTACCCCCAATCGATGGCATTCGTTCACGAAGTACTCAAGTAGGTGAATCCCTCTTATCCTGTCTCTCTGCTTCATGCTCTGGAAGTCCGTCGGTGATGCATATATACTATCCATATCATCAAATCCTTTTGAATTGGCAACAAAGACAAATCAGAAATATATCAGGCAGATAAAAAGATTATGATCCAAATATCTAATGTTTAAGCAAATACTTGATATTCCATAATGTACTGTTTCACAATGAACTGGGAGAAAATGATACTCCCTCCGACCCAAATTAATTGACACAGTCTCTATACAATGTAAACTGGATATTGTATAGAAGCTGCGTCATTTAATTCGGATCGGAGGGAGTACATGCAAATGCATGTGACATGAGTCTACAAGAAGCGATTTACTGAGCAGAATTCAGGTTGAACATCCACGTTAAATGGGCACCTAGCCTGACAGTGCATCTCAAGGTAGGATTCCTATGCAAACAATTTGTTAACCAGATATCAACTATACCATATTATAACATAAAGCACTAGCACCAAATGAGTTAATTTACTACCCAGCTATCTTACAAGGAAGGAGCTATTTCAAGCAGCAAGAAGAAGTGACAAAAAAGAACGGTTAGAAGACAAAGAGTAAGCACTAGCACCAACTGAGTTAGTTTACTACCCAGCTATCTTACAAGGAAGGAGCTATTTCAAGCAGCAAGAAGAAGTGACAAAAAAGAACGGTTAGAAGACAAAGAGTAAGCACTAGCACCAACTGAGTTAGTTTACTACCCAGCTATCTTACAAGGAAGGAGCTATTTCAAGCAGCAAGAAGAAGTGACAAAAAAGAATGGTTTAGAAGACAAAGAGGGAAAGCATTTTAAGTGGCATCACAAGAAGTGCTCCTAAGCTTTCTTGGTCATTCGCTACTGAATTTCAAGTATCAGCTGAAGTGCCTTTTAGTCCAAAAATCACGAGACAGAACAAAGATTCAGGTCAAATCACTGGAAAGCACAAAAGCTATTTCGTCACATACGCTAGTTCAAGCGGCATAGCAAACATGGAGAAAAACAAGCATGCAAAGTTAGTAAACAACTCAATGGACAACCAACTCATGTGGATATGTAATACCCTGCAGTTGCTATTATAACGGCATAACATGCCTTTACCTTCATCCGGCCATTCCATGGGAATCAAAAGGACTAGCTGTTGCAGACTCACTACTATATACCGCCAGGTTAATTCATGAAAATCTTTGCAAAGCAAAATTAAACAGCTTAATTTTTTGGAGCTCTTTCTCTCCGATAGTTCTACTATAAAATTGAAGGGCAACTCTTCTTTCTTGCAAATTATTTAAAATATTTTGAATTGATTTTGGAAAAACTATTCCCAGAATTTTGCTGGAGGTACGCCTCTAAGGGCATGAGAAGAAAAACGTTAGTGCCCACAGAGTAATAAAGTCATTGTATTCCTTCTTAGACATAAATAGGTATCTTTTGTACTAAGACAATTCTCAGACCCCGGTCTGGCTTTGGAATATATAAGGTAGACTGTGGTCTTCCTTCTTATCCAAAAAAAAAAAGTCATTGTATCCCTGAAGAACGGTTGAATGAAGCAAATAGCACATTGTGCAGTTATAATAACAAGTCAAGAGGATACTCTTCCACCCCAAAATGGCCTAAATAGGATACTAGACATAAATAGGTATTACGAGTCAAATATTTGCTGCAAGAGCAGCATTTCATGAAACACGAGAAATAAGGTGTTGCAGAAAACAATACTGGGCAGCAGAAACAGCCGAGGAGTGGTAGATAATATCTCAACGTGTAAGGTGTAGGCTGAAAAGGCCCAAGCCTCGTAACTGAACCCAACTGGGGAGCATCAATCAAATGACATGCTCTTCTAAACTGTGCAGTATGCCTTCCATTCAAAAATACACAGTGTAGTACCACCATATGCGTTTGTTAAGATTAGAGGGTATAAAACCTCTGTAATCTGCATTTACACAACTTACAAAGCACCAGTATCACACCAGTCATGCGGTACCCTCTATCCAGAAACAGCAAAAACTACATAACCAGCAGTCCAGTTCAGTGCATTATCAAGGGTAGACAACAGGCCATGAAAGCAGAGCCACTTGGTACATTCGCCACAGCTTCTGGTCATGGCATTTGTAGCGATACAATTAATTCAGATGCCGCAACAACTACCAACAAG